TAACTCACTGTAAAATGTCTCCGAAAATCAGGTCTTAATAACAAAACGTTCTCATTTGCGCACTAACAAAATCCGCTAGCTAATTTGCATAAGGCGAGGCTGCTAGGTTAGCTTGTCACGAGCCTGCCACAGAATATAAACGAGCATCACTATTTTCATAAGAAAATTTAGGAAAAAGTTACAGAATATCGCGGCCTTTAAAGACTCTAACATACCCTGGCAACCATACAGTTCCACTCTCATGGCTATCACCTGGTACCAAGCTATTGGTCGAAAACGAATGTAACGTGCTGCGATTGGTGGAGTAAGGTCATGGGACACCACAGTGGTACCATCTGTGTTTCCAGATAATTCCTTTAAACAACATATATACGTTATTGACCAGGTCTGAGGTCAACATGGCTTGGTATTGGCCGAGCTTCTGTTTTTTTGGGCATTTTTATGGACCGAGACAAAGTCGAAGTCCATCAAAACGCAAAAAAGAACGACACGAGTCTTTTCATATTGCCCACGGCTGCCGGATGTATAATAACCAACCATTCCAAAGTATTTAAATATATTTTCAAAACCAATTTCATGTAAAGACCATTAAGCACAATGACTAACCGTTATACTTTCTCCTCGCTCTTTGTAGTCCTGAAAGGTCGACCCGTCGCTACTGTACTGCAGATTATATTTTGTCACCCAGTGATTTCTCTGGTATCTTCCTTGAGTTGCCACGCAAGTCACGCCGTGTTGCGTGACCAAATCAATCAGGAGCCACTGATTTGCGTCTGATGTTAATGGTTCCCAGGCCTCTTGGTGTACATTTGTAACTGCTTTATTGTGGAGTCTGGCGTAAACAGCGGCGTGGCCTACACTATACTGTGACGAGGCACTAATTTGACCGTCAAGGATTGCACGGCTTTCCATACCGAGGGCGCGGTGACAATCTAAACGTCGAACGAGTCGAAATCGTTATTGTCAATATACAGTTGGAGTGTAGAACTCAAGGTGTAACCTTGAAATTGCATGTGAGGCTTTAGCTGAAGTAATGGCGGGGTAAAATACATTATTTTTAGATACATTCATTTACTGAAGAACCTAAAGTTTCGAAAAGATACCATGATGTTCTTTTGATTCGACTTGGAAGTCTTGTTAAAACAAAAGTCTCGATCTAGAGCCACTGATTAGCATCTTTCTTTGATGGTTCCCAAACCCCGCCGCTATTTGCGCTTGCTTGTTTGTGAAGTCTGGCGTTAGAAGGAAAATGACGGGAACTCCATATAGTAGAGGCGCTTATTTGTCCGTCAGTTATTGCACGGCTCTCCATGCCAAGGGCGCCCTGACACTCTAAACGTGAACCGCATTTCAAGTTGGTATATGAATGAGTAAGGTTAAATAGCCCGTTAAGAGTCATAATTTAATTATAAGTAATTATCTGTCATCTGCTCGTCTATCATGGAGATTGCAGAAAGGAAGGGAACCTTTCGATTGATCTAAGACTCGATTAAGTTGCAGCATGGAAAAGATAGCTCACAGAATGTGAGACTGTAGTTGCATTATTGATCAAAACTGTTTTACCCTGCTCACAGATCTGGCCAATAAATCCCGAACAGTCGCAGATGAATCGTTTTCCGGTCTCCTGACAGTTTTCTCGACATGTTCCTCCATTGAGACACGGTTGATCTTTGCAACAACTGTTGGAACACTGAGTGCATCCAGACGATGCTGAAACTGCAGAATTGCTCTGAGACAACAAATCAGTTGATTTGATTTTTTAGCATGGATTGGCAGAATAAGACTCTCTCTGATAATTCGTATACATTATAAGCTTGTCATATACGAACCTGATTTATGGTATGAATGAGAATTTTAATAAGGAAAAAATCCTGACTGGAAACTTTTGAAAATACTCTTATATTTTGAAAAGAAGTTATTCACGCCGGCTAAACATCTAAACATTTCTCACCGCTATGTTGTAACGAACAACCAGATCGTAGTACTGAGAGTCTTCCTTTGCCATCAAGGCACCGGGCTTTAGGTGTCGATTTTCCTCATTCAGTTGACAGTTATCCTGGTTGGAATATTTCAAAAAGTTGAAGGAGATACAACGGCAGTTTGGTTGGCATGCTCTGTAACAATCCATCACTTTGGTCACTGAGACATTTGCAAACACGTGACCAACTAGGGCGTGCCCATCCACCATGTTCCTTCCAATAATGAAGTGGAATGAGACGAGACACTTGTCGTTACTGCAAGAACCCGTGGTGAATGGAAATATGAATCCAGCGGTTATCAGCAATGGAATTATGCCGTGGTAAAGGCAGGCAGGCCAAATTTCCCTGAGATGTAATACAATTTCATGTAAATTTACTTCAGTGGGTAACATCTTGAATAATAATATTTTAACGTCATCTGTGTTCTAGGACTGAACGGACCAACGGAGCCATGGAATCTATCTGTTAACTTTTTAACTCCCAAAAGTGATTTCCATGTAACTTCTCCCTACAATATACATACACCAATCAACAAACAGGTAATGAGATTACTAAAACTTATCAGTTAGAGGTTATTATAAGGATATAACACCGAATTCTTGTCACTAAATTGCAAGGAAATGTGTAACAGCTAGATGGGAGAATTAACAATCAGATCTTGGGAGTTAAAGGGTTAAGGAGAAAATGTTGATTTGAATATTTCAAAGGAAGGCGGTTCTGAAGATTTTAAAGCTGGCTGGGTGTGCTCGATAATCACAGAAAATCGATCTACGGACTGTGAACCTAAACGCGGTATTTTTTTTAAAAGGAAATATGTTATATTGAATTATTTTCACATCAGCTGTCATGGAGGACGTCGAACTAAGAGAACCGCCGAGGCTTCCATATTGATAAACGTTTCATAATACCATTTACTCAGATTCTCGTTGCCTGTTGCGATGTACTCATTGAACTCAGCTCCTTTTTTTTAGGTTCTCTCTGTCCCTGGCATCAGCCCTCAGGTTAATTTTTCTCACTAATGAGTTACAACGCATAAAAAGTCACAAGCTGCAGGAAAATTTAGTGAAAAATCAAGCCAATGGAACAGACGATAGTCAAAGCTTCTCTTAGTTATATTGAAGGGATATCTGTCAGATCTGCTTTTAC